TCTGCAGCCAACACCAGCTGGGTATCTTCCCATCCAATTCAATCCGGACACTAACTACCTGGAAACAGTGTCAGATTCCACGGGCTGACGGCTCAGTCCCAGAAGACTACCCCTACTTCAGACACCAGTCACACAAGTCAGGGCCTCCAGAACTTCTCAATGACGGGCTTCAAGCTGCAGTTCCCAGGACCTCCTTTTCAGGTTTCATTAATTTGCTAGAATGGCTCACAAAACACTTACTTAGGTTTACTGGTTTATTATAAAGGATATTACCAAGGATACAGATGAAGTGGTGCACAGGGTGAGATGGAGAGGGGACGCAGAGCTCTATGCCCTTCCCAGGCGTACCACCCTCCAGAAACATCTACCTATTAGGCTATCTAGAAGTTCTCTTGGGCATTTTGTAGAGATTTCATTGGAGAGAGATGATTGAAGCATGGCCAACCTCATAGTAATTGATTGGACAAAGAGTGTGATCTAATACTAGCAGACTGAGTGCAGAAACCCAGCAAGGCCGCTCCAGATTCTCCTTGGCCTCTCTGTGCGGTATTCCTTCCTCCTGGGTAAGGGGCAGGACCCCCTCTGAAACAATCAGACAAGACAGGTCAGAGATTTTCTTTATCGCCAGCTGTAAGACAGAAAGGCAGCGGATGATTAGAGAGCAAGAGACGGACAGAGCTTCTGTTTTCTGAGGCCTGCTTCTGAGGCTTACAACACCCCAACATTCTTTTTTTTTTTTTTTGAGACAGTCTCACTCTGTCACCCAGGCTGGAGTGCAGTGGCACGATCTTGGCTCACTGCAAACTCCGCCTCCCGGTTCATGCCATTCTCCTGCCTCAGCCACCCGAGTAGCTGGGACTACAGGCGCCTGCCACCACGCCCGACTAATTTTTTGCAGTTTTAGTAGATACGGGGTTTCACTGTGTTAGGATGGTCTTGATCTCCTGACTTCATGATCCGCCTGCCTCAGCCTCCCAAAGTGCTGGGATTACAGTCGTGAACCACCGTGCCTGGTCAGAGCATCCCAACATTCTAACAAAAGACTTTTACCTTTGCTGCTCTGAAGCTGTTCCAAGGCCGCTTCAGGAACCATGGACAAAGGACAAATACTTTAACAAAAGTTATGCTTACTATTTTAGTCACTCAGGAAGTAACAAGGACTATGGCAGTTGTGAGCCAGGAACCATGGACAAAAACTGGTATTATGTGTCATGAAATCACAATAAGTAATCTAGAGACAATTTAAAGTATATGGGAGAATGTGCATAGGTTATATGCAAATACCACACCATTTTACATAAGGGACTTGAGCATCTGTGAATTTTGGTATACGCAGGGGGTCCCAGAACCAGTCCCTCAAAGACACTGAGCGATGACTATATTTATGAAGCTAATAAAGTATTATTATATTACTTTATTGAACAAGTATTTGCTGAATGCCTACTGTGTGCCAGATGCAATGCTAAGCATTAGGTGAACACACACTGGTCCCCACCCTCCAAACAAGTAAACATACATTTATTATTGCAACTTGTAATTATTTAAGGGAAAGCAAATCAAGACGATATGAGAGACAAAAAGAACTTACGTTAGACTTACTGAAGAGGAAAGGCAACTTTGAAAAGGGACACAACCTTCAAGATGAGAAGAGGTGGCCAGGTGTGGTGGCTCACGTCTGTAACCCCAACACTCTGGGAGGCTAAGGCAGGCACATCACCTGAGGTCAGGAATTCAATACCAGTCTGGACCAGTCTGGCCAACATAGAGACCCTGTCTCTACTAAAAATACATAAATTAGCTGGGCATGGTGGCACACACCTGTAATCCCAGCTACTTGGTAGGCTGAGGCACGAGAATCTTGAACCCTGGTGGCACAGGTTGCAGTGAGCCGAGACTGCGCCATTGTACTCCAGCCTGGGTGACAGAGCGAGACTCCATCTCAAAAACAAACTTTAAAAATACAATAAAAAGAAGAGAACAGGGTGAGGGCGAGGAGGAAAGTATACCAGACAGAGGGTATCGCAATGCAATTGTCCTCAGAAAGTGCTTAGAAGGTTAGAGGAGAAGGAAATACCTGTCAGTGGAAAGTGTGTGTCTGGGAGGTTGGGAGAGTGGCAAGTGGTCAGGCTGGGGAGTAGGTGAGGTTTTAGAGGGTCTTGCAGGTCCTGGTAAGAGATGGAGATTTCCTCTACGTGCAATGGAAAGTCAATGAAGGGTTTTATCCAGGAGTGACATGTTCCAGTCGTTACTTAAGATCACTCCAGTTGCCATGTGGAGAACAGAATGGAGGCTGGGGAAGAGTGAACACTCAAAGGCTATTGCTTAATCCAGCCCAGAGGTGATGGACTACAAAGCTAACAGTGGAGACGGTGAAAAGTAGCTGCATTCAAAATACATTCTAGGGTAGAGACAACAGGACCACTGACGGACTGGATTTACGGAGTGAGGAGAGAGGGCTAGATTTTTGGTCTATGCAATTGGATAGATGATGAGAAGAGGCTAGAAACACACCTTTGGGAACCATCAGCACACAGATGGGTTAAATGACAGAGCGTAGAGAGAAAGGGTCCCAGGACTGAGACCTAAGATACCTCAACACTTAGACATCCAGCAAGGGAGGAACAGGACCCAGGGAAGGACACTGTGAAGTAATCCTTGATGTAGGAGGAAATATCACAAAGGAACATATAACATGAAGAAAGAAAAGTTTCTAGAGTTTCTGTATTAACCACTGCTGAGAGATCAAAAAAGTTGAGGCCAGAAAATCAACCTCTGGATTTGACAAGACGGAGGGATGGAGGGATCAGGGGTTTTTTTGTTGTCGTTGTTGTTTTGGAGATGCAGTCTTGCTCTGTCGCCCAGGCTGGAGCGCAGTGGCACAATCTGGTTCACTGTAACCTCTGCCTCCTGAATTCAAGTGATTCTCCTGCCTCAGCCTCCTGAGTAGCTGGGATTACAGGCACCCAAAACCACACCTGGCTAATTTTTTTATTTTTAGTAGAGACAAGGTTTTGCCATGTTGGCCAGGTTGGTCTCAAACTCCTGACCTCAGGCGATTCGCCCACCTTGGCCTCCTAAAGTGCTGGGATTACAGGCGTGAGCCACCGCGCCCTGCTGGATCAGGTAATCTTAACAGTCATTTCTACAGACCAGTGAGGATGAAAGCCCAACAGAATGGTTGAGAGAATGAGGGGCTAATCAGCACTTTCAAGTTTTGTTGGGATGGTAAGCAGAAATGGAGTAAGAGGTGGACATGTATGTGGGGACAGGGGATTTTCTAAGATGAATACATTAAAGCAGGGTTGTATGCTCAAAGGAAATGCTCCAGTAAAGAGGGAAAAATTAGTAATGATGGTTTGGACTAGAGTAAATTATATGAATAGTTTTTCAGGTTGCAGATGAAATCCGATCAGTGGATTGCAAAATTAATTCAGTGGGTCAACCTTTTTTGTTCTGTTTTGTTTTGTTTTAGACAGAGCCTTGCTCTGTCACCCTGTCAGGAGTGCAGTGGCTCCATCTCAGCTCACTGCAGCCTCCTGGTCTCAAGCGGTCCTCCCATCTCTGCCTTGTAAGTAGCTGAGACTACAGGCATGCACTACCACACCCAACTAGCTTTTTAATTTTTTGTAGAGACAGGGTCTCCCTATGTTGCCCAGGCTGGTCTCCACTTCCCAGGCTCAAGTGATCCTCCTGCCTAAGCTTCCCAAAGTGCTGGGATTACTGACATGAGCCATCATGCTTGGCCCCATTCATCTTAATAAAAAATAGACAATATGAGAGTGTACTCCATACATTATTGTTTCATGATCCTTTCATTTCAGTTACACAGACATATTGTGTTAAGTTAAAAAAAAAAAAAAAGGGAAGGGACCAGGTGAGGTGGCTCACGCCTGCAATCCCAGCATTTTGGGAGTACAAGGCAGGAGGATCACTTGAGCTTAGGAGCTGGAGACCAGTCTGGGCTGTAGTGAGATCCTGTATCTACAAAACTTTTTTTAAAAATTAGCCGTGAGTGATGGTGTGGGCCTGTAGTCCCAGCTACTGGAGGGGCTGAAGCAGGACTGCTTGAGTCCGGAAGGTGAGGTTGCAGTGAACCATGATTACACCACTGCACTCCCACCTGGGGCACAGAGCAAGACCCTGTTTCTTAAGAAAAAACAATTAAGAATGTAAAAATCTGAAATGCCATCGTACATATAACCATTAAACACGAGGCAAAAGAACATAAAGGAAACTGAATCAAATAATCAGTGCACAGAGAACACAAGATAGGTAAATACCTACAAGTTAATATCAACCATATAAAGCCCACATTCCGAGTAGATGCAAAAACTTCCATTTGCACGACGTGCAACGAGCAAGCATGGAAAAGACCACGTGGAGTTAAATTGTCAGAAAATCTTTTACCTCGCCTTGTACACACCCACACACCCCGTGCTGTTTCTCCGGTCCCAGTCCTGGCTCACATCCTTCCCTTCTCCCCACAAAAACCAGCCCCTTCCCTCACAGTGTTGACTGCTCCCATCAAACTCTGAGAGCAGCTCTTCCGAGTGACAGCTCCCCAGGGGCCCAGTGCTGCAAGCAGAGCTCTACCCGGCCCTGATTCATCTTTCCTCCAGGTACTTTCAGGGCGAACAGACTCAGGCCTTTATAGCCTTCTAAGTCCTGACTCGGATACCAGGCTGGGCTCCACCCCCGCACTGTGACCCAAAAACGCTGGTAAATGAATGAGAGAAGGAGGGCGCACACTGAAAGGCAACCAGACCCGGAGATGTTCGGCCGCGCACCCCAGACACAGGGTGTGGAGGGGAAGCGAAGGTTCGGAGGGGCAAAGCGAGAGTCCCGTTCGTCCCCGTCCCCACCCCGCGGCCCTCCCGGACAGGGCCGGCCCGCTGCCCTCACTTCCGTACCAGGGTCGCCAAGTTCCCACGGATCTCGGCTCTCAGCGGTCAAACCGATGGGCTCCTCGGCCGAAAAGGGACGCGCCCGGGGAGACTTACACTTCCATGACGTCCCGCCTCGTCGCCCCTAGCTGCCAGCAGACCAAGAACCTCACACGTCACAGCTGTCCCCGCCGCCGCCGACCGCGCCAAGGTGCCAGCTCCGCGCGCCAAGGTGCTCGCCGGGAT